CTTTCTGAGGAAGAGCCATATCGTTTTCCAGAGTGGTTTTACAGTCCCACCAGCCACATAGGAGGGTCCCAGTCTCTCCACATCCTCATTAGTATTTGTTGTTTTCTGTTTTTTTGACCTTTGCTATGAATGCTGAGGTGAAATGGTATCTCATTGTTGTTTTGATTTGCATCTCTCCCTGGTGTGCCAATGTAGTATCTCTAGCCGGAAGGGCAGCAGTTCAAACCCCCAGTTGCTTTCAGATGCCTTATACAAGATAAGGTAGCTATAGGTCAGAAACAACTCAATGGCGCTTAACAACAACAACAGCTAATGATTATGAACCTTTCTTCATATGTTTGTTGGCTGTCTAAATGTGTTCTTTGGTGAAGTGTCAGGTCATGTTCTGTGCCCATTTTAAATTGGGTTGTCTTTTTCTTGTAGCGGTGTTGTAGTTTTCTATAAACTTGAGGTATTAATCCGTTATCTGATATGTCATTGCAAAAAAACAAAAAAAATCCCAGTCTGTCGGCGACCTTTTTACTCTTTTGACAAAATCTTTTGATGCACAAAAGTTTCTAATTTTGAGGATGTCCTAGTCATTTTTTTTTTTTTTTCTTTTTTGGTCTTCTGTGGTTTGTGTGCGTTTTTTTGTTTTTGGCAATATTTGATAGTGTGTATGTATACCATGTATTAAAGCCCCTAAGTTTATCCCTATTTTTTCACTGATGATCTTTATAATTCTAAGTTTTACTTTTAGGTCTTTAATCCATGTTGCGTTTGTTTTTGTATATGGTGTGAGATATGGGTCTTGTTTCATTCTTTTGCAAATTGATTTCCAGGTTTGCCAGCACCATTTATTAAAGAGACTATCTCTTCCCATTCACTGTGAATTGGCCCTTTGTCACGGATCAGTTGACTGTATGTAGATGGATTTACTTCTGGGTTCTCAATTCTGTTCCACTGGTCTGTATAGCTTTCATTGCACCACTGTGACTGTGTAGTAAGTTTTGAGACCAGGGACTGAGAGGTCTCTAACTTTGTTCTTCTTCTTAAGCAATGTTTTGCTTATCAAAGGTCTCTTTCCTTTCCATATAACATTTGTGATCACTTTTTCCATCTCTTTAAAGAATGATGTTGGAATCTGCACTGGGATTGCATTCTATGTGTCAATTGCTTTGGGCAGTATTGACATTTTCACAATGTGAAGTCTTCCTATCAGTGAGGACGGTACTTTCTTCCATTTTTGTAAATTTCTTTTGGTTACTTGTAGTAGTGTTTTGTAGTAGTTTTCTTTGTATCTGTCTTTTGTTTCTCTGGTTAGATTTATTGTTAAGTATTTAATCTTTTGGGAGGGTATTGTAAGTGATATTGTTTTCCTAATGTCCTTTTCAGAGTTGTCTTTATCACTATAGAGGAAGCCAACTGATTTTTATATATTGATTGCGTACCCTGCCAATTGCTGAACCTTCCAATGAGTTGCACTAGTTTTCTTGCTGAGTCTTTGGGATTTTCTATGTATAGGATCATATCATCTGCAAATAGAGACAGCTTTACTTCTTCTTTTCTGATTCGGATGCCTTTAGTTTCTCTATCTTGCCTTATAGCTCTGGGATGAGTTTGTGTGTTTTGTTTTGTTTGTTTGTTTTTAGCATCTTTACTAAGAGTTTTCAGACATTTTTGGCTCATTTCTAGGGCACTTTATTTCCACACAAACAGAATCAGCAAGTTATAGTCAGAAGGTTTCAGTGCAAATACCTGAATATTTGAATGAAGTAAAACTTGCCCCGCTTCCACCACCTAATTATATTTGCTGTAGTAACTACATGAGACCCCTGGGTGGCACAAGCAATTTACACATAATCACGAACCTAAAGATTGGTACTGTGAACCCACACAACAATCTGCTTCCAGAAGGTCCCTGTCAAGAAAAGCCTCCGGAGCACTGCTCTACTCTGTGACACATGGGCTTGTCGAGAGTCAGAACTGACTCGATCATCACCGAGAAGAGACACTGAGTTGATTTCTCCGGGGTAACTGACTGAGTTGCCAAACTCCCAACAGGCTGGAGCGTATTTGAATTTGTGCTGGAGGCTAGGTTGGGTCAAGATCAGTCATTGTTGCTTACATGTGTGGACGTGGTCATGGGAACCTCTGTGGGAGGAAGTAGCGGACTGTACCTCAGGTGAGGGTCTGCACACACCAGCAGGGGCAGGCTGCCCTCTCTGTCTGTCCCACCATCCTGTCTGCGTCCTCCCCTCCTGAACCAAAGGCTTCTTTTCACATTGCTATCACTATGTGGAAACCGGTTCCTTTCTATGTAGGAGAAAGATAACAAGAAATGAGCTTCGTCAATGACTTCTGATCTTCTGAACCAGAGAACAGAGAGATTCGTACGTCCTGCTACGTGTTCTCTTCAGATCTAAATGTGATCTCATGGTTTTAAATACACATATATTTCCTAGCAGGATCCTCACTGGACTGCGAACCACAAGGTCAGTAGTTCAAACCCACCAGATGCTCCTTGGAAACCCCACACAGGGTCGCTATGAGTCGGAACCGATTAGAAGGCACTTAACAACAACAACCATCTACAAAAAGAAGTTCACTGGGAACAGTTGTGTCAGAAACTGGTGGGGAAGAGTGGCAAACAGATCCCACAGGCTGACCTGGTGATAGAATGAAGGTCTACTCCTGTACAGGCACACAAAGTTTTCCAACAGTTTTTTAGTAAGCTTCTTTTGCTGCTGTGAAAAGTTGCTTCTGTGGTGTTTGTCTTTGTCTGAGTGCAGTAGACTTGCTTTAATTGTTGACATTTGTCGTTGCTGCTTTTAAGTGCCATCGAGTCGGTCCCGACTCATAAAGACAACTCATAAAGGCCCTGTATAGGGTTTTCGAGGTGCAGCTGGTGAGCTTGAACCGTTGACCTTGTGATTCAAACTGACTTTGCAGTACCGCTCATTAGTCCGCAGCGCCACACCATGTGCGCAAAAAGAGCCTAGGGAATCAGGAATGGCCCCCAGTGAGTTCCGGGTTTCTCGGCTCACAGGCTCCCTCTCCTGGTGCTTCCGCGAGGCCCAGGATCTGGTGTTTAGTGCGCGGCCGCTCGGAGGCTCAGGCTCTCCAGCCATAACCGGCGCCTCCCTAACACAGTTTCTCGATCTGCCCACAGTCTCTGTCACGCGGGACCCGGCCCTCTCCTAGTGGTGGTGGTAGTGGTGATGGTGGTGGTGGTGGTGTTTCTGCCTGTGCGTCCTGGCTACGGCTGGAACCCTTTGTCCCGCGTCACTGCCTTGCCACACCCTAGTGGCCATTTCGTAGACCAAAGCTTCTGGTTTCTGGCGCTCTGTCCCTCCCGTCCCCCATTATTTCGTTTGCTTCCTTCTCTGCTTCCGGGTTTCCGGATAGGTGGTGGGGTTATTACGCCGGGAAATTCTGATCTCTGATACCTCCTTAAAGATCCCTGGGGGCAGGCGCAGTGAAGTGCTGGAGTGCTAAGCAAAAAGTCGGGGGTTCGAATTCAAAAGCAGCTCCGTGGGGGACAGTCTGATGCTCAAAAACACTATGGGGCAGTTCAACTCTTCCGAGAGGTCCACTGTAAGTCGGAACCCACTGCATGACAGTGGGCGTGTGTGGGTGTCTCCTTGCTTTTACAGGAACCCAGACACCTCTTATCATTTTTTTCCTAATAATTCTACTTGTAATCTGGTTACTTGTCTTTTCTTATTGTTGTTAACTCCGAGAGTGCAAATCAGATTTAGTTTATACTATACGTGGCACTGAAGGAGTTCTGGTAGCGTAGTGGTTACGAATCGGGCTGCGAACCTCAAGGTCAGCAGTTCGAAACTCCCAGAGGTTCCACGGGAGACAGATGAGGCTTTCTGCTCCCGTAAAGATTTATAGCGTCGGAAACCCTGTAAGGGTCACTAGGAGTCGGCAACGGACTCCACAGCACATAACCACCACCACCATATGTGTAGGATAAGCACCTTGACCTCAGGTTAGTTTGAACTGCAAGGTCAGTGGTTCAAACACACCAGTCGCTCCCTGGAAACCCTATACAGCGTCACTATGAGTCAGAGCCAACTCGTCGGCACCTAACAACAACACTATATATGTAGTGGGAGAAAAATGAGGTTTTCTGCTCCCGAAAAGATGTACATCCTCGGAAATCCCATGCAGGATCGCTATGAGTCAGACTCAACACTACGGGAACACAACAACAACAATGTATGCAATTAAAATTATTTATAAGATTTCTACATACAATGATATCTTCGCTTTTAACCATTTTCAAATGTTAGGGAAGAAATTTCAAATAGAATCCCTTTTAACAGGATTTCAGGTTGCTCAGAACCATGTACATTTTTATTGTGCGTCGCCTTGATTTGTCCGACCTTTTTAACACAGAGATATTTATAAGAGTTCTTTGCGGTTTCCATTGTTGTAGCCTTGTTTCTACTGCCTTTGTTTTGGGGAGACCAAGACAGAAACCATGTTCTGTCTCCAAGGGCCTTAACCTGCAGACTCTTCCAAAGGCCTGTGAAGACCTGGGCTCTTCCTCTGAATCTGGTTAATTGAGCCTTACCTTGAAAAGTGACCTTTCTAGTGCCATTTTTATTACAAATTTGATGATTGTCCCATTACAGTCTGGGAAACTAAAGGACAGATTGACTGACAGATGCAAATGGCTGTCTTCTCCTAGACAAAAGGCTCTGGCACTTTGGCCGCCAAACCAGTTTACACCTTCCTTTCGGTTAGGTGCCTTCGAGTTGGTTCTGAGTCTTAGCAACCCTCTGCCTAGTCCTGGGCCAGCTCACCAGGGCTGTTACTCTTGAGAATGTTGCTGTTGCCACTGTGCCAATCCATCTCATTGGGGGTCTTCCTCTTTTCCACTGACCCTCCATTTTACCAAGCATGATGTTCTTCTCCTGATAATATGTCCAAAATATGAGAAACAGAGTCTGGCTATCCTGTTATTTAAGGCTGTACTTCTCACACCGATTTGTTGGTTCTTCTGGCAGCCCATGGTACTTATTAACATTCTTATCCTACACCATAACACAAATGCATCAATTCTTCTACTGTCTACTTTATTCATTCTCCAACTTTCACATGCCTATGAGGCTATCCAAAATACCATGGCTTGGGTCTGGTGCATCTTAGTCCTCAAACCGGTATCTTTGCTCTTGTATACTTTAAAGAAGTCTTGTGCAGCAGATTTTCCAAATATAATAATACATCGTTTGATTTCTTAACTGCTGTTTCCATGAGTGCTGATTGTGTTGTTGTTGTTGTTGTTAGGTGCCATCGAGTCGGTACCGACCCATAGCGACCTTATGCGCAGCAGAACGAAACACTGCCCAATCCTGGGCCAACCTCACTGCTGTTGCCACGCTTGAGTCCATAGATGCTGCCACTTGGCCAATCCATCTCATTGGGGGTCTTCCTCTTTTTCTTTGACCCCCCCACCTTACCAAACATGATATCCTTCTCCAGAGACTGGTC